GCAATTACACTGGACCCATCTAATTTTTCTCTTAAGCTTCAATTTTACAGCATATATTGTTTTCAATGGCTATTCGCGGCTAGTATGCCCTGCGCTGATGGTGCAAGTATGGCTGTTGTTATTTTTATGTTTTGTGATGGGACGTCTTGCGTTTATAAGCACTTTTAGGCAGCTTCGAGAAGAAAAACACCTTTTGTCTATGGTTGGTGTTAGTCAATCTCATATCCCACAATGATATTCTCTACCTTTTATAATGCTCATGGCTGCATTTTACAGCTCTAAAGTTTAATTGGAGTAGAAAAAAACTATTAACATTTATGGCAAGCTTATCATGTGCTAGACACTCTACTAAGCATTTGTATACCTTGTATGTGTAAACTGCCCCAATTGGAATCAGCCTCTGCAACTTCCTAGCTGTGTTACCTCATGCAAGTTAGCTAACTTCTCTGTGCCTTACTTCCCTCATCTTTAAGTGGGGGTAATAATAGTATCCATCTAATGGGTGACTGTGAAGATTAAAAGAGTCAATATATAAACATGTAGGAAGTGCTAGGTAAGTGCTGACAGTTACAATTAATTTGTTCTTTAATTCTCATTTGACATCTTAGAAAACTGGAGTGTAGAGAGTGTAACTTATCCGAGGTCACAGAGCTAGTAAGTGGCAAAATCAGCATTCATACACAGGCCGGGCTGACTCCAGGGCTTGGTAACTTCACCCATTGTAAGTAGATGAGTTTATTAATTGACTTCAAATAAAGTAAGTGTATTCAACTGATTCATGTTTAAAAACTGTTCAAACACCTGGAAATTAAACCAAATTATACTTCTTTTAAAAGACAAAATGATTCATTCTGTAAATGAAAAATAATGGTTTTACTTGCATTACCTACCTAAGCAAGCCCTTCTGTGTGGTCTATCCTACTTAAGACATAGTTCACAAACTGCCTTATTAAGAAATATTCTGTCTAGGCCAGTGTGGTCCCTGGCCGTGGCATCAAGGTAACCCCCACGGGGACAATCTTTTTTAGTGCATTCATGGGTAATAAAGGTATATAAACACTTTTTTTTTTGGCCGCGCTGTGCGGCATGCAGGGTCTTAGTTCCCCAACCAGGGATCGAACCTGTGCCCCCTGCATTGGGACCACGGAGTCTTAACCACTGGACCACCAGGGAATTCCCTATAAACACTTTTTTGAATCCATTTGAATTTGCAGCTGGTAGTATTACTTGAGTTGAGTGGAACAGGTTTATGTTCTGTGTTTTGTATTGCACATTGTACCTAAGTTTATCTCGAGGTTTTCAGAGATTCATCTTGGTTCAAGGGGTCCCGAATTTTGTGCACAACTGTCATATGGAGGAGAATGTTCTCTAGTCAAATAAATTTGGGGAATGTTAAAATAAAGTTTCTTTACTGCATAACTTGCCAGAGGTTTTACTGTACTTATGTTCTTTATGATTCTACAAGATTCCCAAACTTATTTGACCAAGGAAAAAGTTAGGGGCAAGTGTTCCAAGGATCACTTTTAGGGAAACTGTATTCCATTCATACAACCTGCGATTTTGTGGCTTTGATCTTAATCCCTCTCACTGAGCCTTGGCTTTTCTCTGCTGAGGCTCTTGATTCGTGCTCACAGGGCAGCTTCTCAGTCCCTTGATCACTGCAGTTGCCTTTCGCTGGGCCTTCACGCTGTCTCTGGTAGCGCATGCAAGTCCAGGGTTGTGTGCTGGCGTTTGTCCCAGGTTCATCCTGCTGATGCCCAGCATGTTGTCCTTCAGGTCACAGCAGCACACCACGCTGCCTTTCTTCTGAGAATATTTTGTAGTGACTCATAGGCCTCTTTGTAGTGATTCTTACTAACTCAGAGCATCCAATTTGTTTGCCCTCTATGCCAGTGGAATTATTTCCTTTTAATGTCGATGTAACCAGTAAAATTTTGCTTTTCATTCAAAACAGATTTAAATGTCAATGTGTCAACGTGTTAGTTGTTGCTAGGACCTATCTGTGAAGTTGAGATGGTCCTAAAACCTTTAACATTTGGTTTCTACTTTGAGGGGGGGGCACGTGTTTCTTTTGTACTCAAAATTCAGACTTTAATATATTTTATTTTGACATTAGTATTTACTGGGTTTTGTTTTATCTCTCCTTTCCAAAATCTTGGGGAGAAAGAGAGGCAGAACAATTGTATCTGCTAAATGGAAAAAAATGGCTTTGAACAAAATAATGTATAGCTATATAACAGACCCAGAGGGTCACTCCCTACCCATGCTCATGTGGCCTTTGCCTCCCCTCTCTACTCAGCATACGTATCCATCCACTCACAGGAACACTGTTTGACTAGTATTTGAGGCTTAGGGTGTCCAGTGCTGTATTATTCCTTCCGTTGAGGTGCTTATAACACTGTACTGGGGTGGGGGGGCGTGGACAGGACTTGTGAAATAAGCAGAGTAAAATGCGAAGCAATTTATAATTAGCGGCCAAATCTGAGTTTTAGTTTAGACATAAATGCTACAGTATTCATAAGAGGCAGGAAGTTTTCATCAAGAAGGCAGGCACCTGCCCTCTGTGGTAATAGTACTGAGATAGGCAGAGAGGCCCGGGGAGGAACATTAGGTGAGTGGAAAGTGAGAGCAAGGATACGGCGCTAGACATGATGAACCTGGTATTGGGGGAAAGTTGGTCTCAAGTACAGTGGTAGTGGTGCTTGCTGGAAATGGTGACAGGTGGGATGCACCAACTGAAGAAGAGGAAGAAGTCCACGATAACTCACAAGTTTTGAGTCCGCAGGATCAGGAGAGGCTGTGTTGCCACTGCGAGAATCAGGATTTGGTTTAGGAGAAGGTGTTCCGCTTTAGGTGAGTTTGAAATGAGGGAGCCCTGTAAGACAAAAGCTACGATGGGCTCAGCGTCAGGTCCACGCAGGGTGCAATGGGCGAGGCAAGTGTGCTGCTCATCAACTATTCACCACAATCAGACCATTTCCTAAGTCTATAGAAGATAGTTTCCACTTACCTTTTAGGGAAGGTAAACCAGCAATGTTAAGGAAAAACAACAACAACAAATCAGACTCAGATTGTTGTTCTTGAAAAGAAGGCTTGGTTCAGCTCAATTAGTTCTTCTTTCTGGCACCATTCTGTGTTCTGGCATCTCGTTTCCTCTTGGCAATCTCATTTGAGGGTTTAACAACCTCCCAAGTTGTGCTGCAGTCCCTCTCTTACCTAAAGGCCGCCTAACGGGAATAGGAGGCCTCTGTTTTTTGGAGCAGATCCCCCAATGCCGTGTCTGCACTCTGTCCAACATAGACACCCAGTGAAAGCACGCTGCGACGCTGTAAGCTGGCTCCAAAAGGTTCATTCCTGTAAAATGCAGCTCAAGTTGTTGTGAGGCCCTGAATGAGACCCAGACCTGGGCAGAGGATCCTTATGGGGTCGGAGCTGAGTCTGCGTTACGGAAAGAGTTTGCCCAGAGGTGTGCTTCCTTTACACCTCCCAAAGGGCAGATGGGCTTTTCTGACCTTCTGACTTGGGAAAACAGAATTTAAACCCACGCGTCTATGGAAAAATGGGCTCCTGTGACATCCTGAAGCATTATTAAAGTGAAACAAGGACCTAGATGGGTGACTATCACTTGCTGTCTCTCAGCTCTGAATCATCATGATCCCCAGGGTCTGTTGCAACGATGCGACCATAAGTATTTTCCCTAAAATGAAAACTCCCTTCTGGAAATGCCTAGCCATTATAAGTAGCCTTTCTAAGCAAACTGATAAATAGGTCGTTTGCCCTTAAAACAAACTTCTAATTTCAATTTAGAAAGCCATGCACATTACATGATTTGACCTTCACAGTCTTACCTTTTAAAATGGAAACTGCTTGGAAGGGGCTTTTACCTGGAGAATATGGCATGCATGTGTCTGTTATACTGCTTTCCTGCCCAAATAAGTGTGCCCTTATGCGCACTCCTGTGCATATTCCGTTGCTCACTGCATTTTGTCAGATGCTGCTTGCTGAATGCAAAGACTGTGAGACCACTGCCCGGCTTCCTGTAGCGCTAGGCCCACATTTCCACGGAACCCCTCACCTAGCAGAATTCTTGAGTGCTTCGCAGTCAGCAGCATCACCCAGGGTTCTGCCTGAGTGTCACTTCAGTGTCTGCCAGGGAGCTTCAGACATCCTCAGTTCTGTTTAGGCTGTGCAGATAGACATAGGTGAGGTTTGCTTCTAGTTGGTGGTTGCTAGTACCAGGTCACCTTGCTCATTGGTGAGTTCATTCCAACCCAAAAAGTCACACCTGTGTCCTGTGCGCGGGTGCTGCAGGCTTAGGTGGAGAAAAGCAGGGCTAGAATTGGAATCCAAAGCCCAGGATGGCAGGAGAGGATGTGGGGGCTCCACCCGATCACCTCTGGGTTCACCAAGAGGGTATCTACCGCGACGAACACCAGCGCACGTGGGTGGCCGTCCTGGAAGAGGTAACTGTTTACATTTTGTTTCTTTCTTTCTTGATTTTTGCTTTCAAGCAACTTGGTTTCTAACCAGTCTCAATATCCTGAAGTCTTTGGTTTTATTTTTGATCGTTTCTTTCCATTAGGAGACGAGTTTCCTAAGGGCACGAGTTCAGCAAGTTCAGGTTCCTTTAGGTGACGCAGCCAGGCCAAGTCACCTTCTCACCTCCCAGCTACCTCTCATGTGGCAACTCTACCCCGAGGAGCGCTACATGGATAACAACTCTCGCTTGTGGCAGATCCAGCATCATTTAATGGTACACATGTTGCTTAATAATTTTTCATTGTACTGGGACTCTTATAACAGAGTACTCTATAAACTTTTCTTTTTCTGACAGGTCAGGGGAGTACAGGAGCTGTTGCTTAAGCTTTTGCCTGATGATTAATCTGGTATGTATTTCTTTTTCTCCCCTGTCCCCATCCCCCTTCTTCTTTTTCACCCTATTCCATTGTGGTGATTTTAATGATCTTTTTTTTCCAGGTGCTGGGATTCTAGGAAGATATGCCCCTCTGTTCTGTTCAGTATATGGCAATCACGTCATCCACCACTGCAGTGCACCCACCTGTGGGCCTGTGGGGAGGGAGTGGGTTGAAAAACTGCTCAAGAACACAGAAGTTTAGGAAGGGTCATGAAGAACACCGAAAGTGGAACTGCAGAGAAAGGGTTATGCAGGCAGAAAGCAAGTCAACAAAAGCACTTAGTTAGGATACGTAACTTGAAATTGACTCCTTTGGAAATTGCCATAGAACCGTTAATGGACATCATCAGCTGGAACTGGGATCTGATGAATCCCACAAAAGTCAGCACCTGCTACAGAACAGATGCCCTGATCACCAAGGACTTGGTACTGATTTAGAGAGAAGAGAGCAGCTCCTAGCAGCATCAACATCTATTTGTCGCTTATTTGCCCTGCAGCAATTCACCTGCCTTTCCTTCTCCCATCCTGTAAATATCCTAGGTTTTGCTCCAGTGTTTCCCATCCCAGTACTGACCTAACTTGGATCTACTAAGAACTTAGGGGGCTCTGAGGAAAAAAAAAAAAGGGGAGATCATTTGCATTAATGAAATTAGCTACAAAGGCTCCTGGGCCTTTTTCCTTTCTGAAATTGTGTCTTCAAATTTTTAGAAGTTGCTGATCAGAATCGTGGGCACTTAAATTTATTCTCTGGTTACAAATATTTTAAATAAGTTGGTTTCTGTAAGAACTCCAAAAAACGTTTTAGCTGCTTACCTAGCACCTTTCTCAGGAAGTAATAATAGCACCAAATATTGCTGATTCACTACCTGATGAAGATTATTTCCTGAGTTAAAATACTCATGGCAGTTTGTATACATTAAAAGAAGGGTTTTACTTTTTTAAAAATCTTGGGAATAATAGCTATCACGTGTTGAGTCCTTACTGCCTTCCAGGCACTGTTCTATGCACTTTATATACTGTATCACGTTTAATCCTTCCATCAATGCTTTCAGGTAGGTATGATCTCTATTTTACACACAAGTAATAAGGAAAAAGGCTCAAGGAGTTAAATCATTTATCAAGAGTGGTTCTCTGAGTGACAGAGCCGGGCAGTGGGCCGACTTGTCAGGCTGCAGCGCCGGCTCCTCTAGCCCAACGTTGGTTTACAATAGTCAAGATGAGTTGAAGTCAAGGGGTTTTTTTCCCTATGTAAAGCTATTTATATCTTCCAAGCCAAATGGAATATTATAAAAATACAGTTAATTCATCCTATGAGCAGGAAGAATATTTTTTAGTGTAATTGTTTTCCAGCAATTGTAAGAGCATACTGCTTGTCTCAGAAGAAAATTCCATCGAGGGGCTTTAAAGTCTTTATGTATAAAAGACAAAATAAAAATCATTTTTCTTATTTTAGTTTTCTGGATATGCCGCAGAAGGATCCGTGCCAGAAACAAGCCTGTGAAATACAGAAATGTTTACAAGGTAGTATGTTAAATGCTTTTCTATATTTTTCAACTTTATCTGTGAACTAACCAGAGAACAATTGTTCTTTTTATCAGCAGACTATATTAACTCCTCTCAGAATGTAATATTTCTGTAATTAACTCATCCTAAAGATTTTCCTCACTGTGTCATCAAGGATGGCAGAAAATAAAAAGTGGTGTGACCTAAGCTTGGGGTTTACAATCCCGGTTGTACATTTAGAATCACCTGGAGGGCTTCAAACACTTGCCTAGCACAGTTAAATCAGACTCTGGGGGTGGGGTCTGGGCAGGAATCAGTCTAAAAAGCTAACCAGGTGATTTTAATGTGCAGCCAGAGTTGAGAATTACTAAGCTGAGCAAAGTCCTTTTTAAAAAAGACTAGTTTTAAGTGGGTTGGTTAGACTGCACTGTGGCTGACAGCTCACTTTTTAAAAGCAGTCAGGTTGGAAGGGATGGGGGTGAAAATACATTTGGAAGTCAGGCAACTAACTCTTGAAGGCAAAAGTAAATCAGCTAAAGCGTATTTGATGTAAGTGATTTGTCCATTTTGTTTTAAATAAGCCGATAAATTTGACCATATGCTAGGGGATTTTACTTTTTTTTTTTTTTTTTTTTTTTGCGGTACGCGGGCCTCTCACTGTTGTGGCCTCTCCCGTTGCGGAGCACAGGCTCCGGACGCGCAGGCTCAGCGGCCATGGCTCACGGGCCCAGCCGCTCCATGGCATGTGGGATCTTCCTGGACCGGGGCACGAACCCGTGTCCCCTGCATCGGCAGGCGGACTCTCAACCACTGCGCCACCAGGGAAGCCCGGATTTTACTTTTTTAAATCAGCAAATGATTACTAGCAGAACAAACAGAAAAGGCTACAGGGCTATCTGAATTTGAAAGCTGACTTTTTGGATAATTTTTTCCCATTACTAAAGTAATAGATAGAGATGGATGCCCATGAAAATATAGAAAGGGAGGATGGAAAAATGTTCAGAGTTCACCCAAAGACTCACCACCAAAGAAAACCCTTGTTTGTATATTTCCTTTGACTTTTAACTTTCATTCTTGGACTTTTCATTTTATGGTGTAAGCAATCTTTTTAAAATCTTTTAATCTGAAATGTTAATGTACAATAATAATGCCATTTTATTCATCCTTTTCTTCCCTTCCTCCAAATTTAAGAAAAAGGAAGGGGAATTCCCTGCAGGTCCAGGGGTTAGGACTCAGCACTTTCACTGCCGTGGGCCCGGGTTCAAGCCCTGGTCAGGGAACTAAGATCCCGCAAGCCTCGAAGCGTGGCACCCCCGCCAAAAAGAAAAGAATGTTCTTCCCAATTTCTTCTCCCAAATAAATTCTTACTTGATTCTATCTGATTCTTAGCTGATTTGAATTAGCAACATACAGCTAAAGGAGAACACAAATCAAGCTAGAACTGGACACACCCCCTCACTGCAGTGTGGGTGGATTGAGAGCTAGAAGGGCCAAGAGTGAGCATGAAGCACTCCCTGGATGACAAGCTCAGTTGTAAGGGCTCTAAATAATATTAAGCTTTAATCCTTTCACCCATGAGGTAGATACTACTGTGACCCATTTTTATGGATAGGGAAATCAACACAGAAGCTATGTAACTTGTCTAGGGTCACAGAACTATTAAGGGGCACAGTGATGGTTTGAACCCATTTGGTCTGGGTCCAAACCTGGACTTAGCCACCCAACCATACTCTCTTTCTAATCAGAATTGTCTTTCCTATCCCAGGCTAACTCCCATACACCCCATTTTAGTACTGGGGGACTCATCACCTGCAGTTGACCTAGGACCTTTAGGTCAAGTCCTCGTTGACTTAGGGTCTATGTATAGCAGGGATCTGCAAATGTTTTATGTAAAGGACCAAACAGGAAATATTTTAGGATTTGGAAGTCAGGAGGTCTTTGGTGTGTGCGTGTGTGTGTCTGTGTGTGTGTGTGTGTGTTTCCAACCTTTTGCAAAACCCATTCTTAGCTCAGCCGTAAAAAAGAGTGGAATTCAACCCTGAGGCTGCAGTTTGCCAACTCCTAATGCACAGACTTGGTAGGGAAGGTCCAGCAACCACTTTAAACTGAGTGCAAAATAATGTGCATGGTTCCTGCATTTCTCTAATTCACCAAATTAACAAAAGGGGTTAGTGACCAAACACACACACACACACACACACACACACACACACACACACACACACA